ATGTAAGCCAACTACCTGAACCCCTTGAAAACATAATGCCCAAAAATACGCGCCGCCAGGGCGTACCATACTGTTAGTTAAATCCCCCAAAGCCGCAAACGTCAGCAACCCGAAAACCCTCGATGGATGCGATCGCGGCTAATTTTGTATAGTCTTCGCCATTTCATTCAGCAGTGTGAAGACGTCTGAGTTTCCTTTTTCCGAATCTCCCGAGATAGCTTCGGTCCCCCATCCGGAAGCCGCTGCACGACATTGCTGTTGCTACGATGATGCAGATGATGATGATTGTTGTTACTTTGTCTTCAAACTTAGACCCTAAAACGAACGGCTTGAACTCAACATTCTCACGTCGGCCCCATGCCCCGGCCGTATTCCTAGAAAAAGGGCTCTTTAAAAATCATAAAGCTCAAACCCGAATCTGCATGCGCCCCTACTCTTCTTCAAACTCGGGCAGCCCTCAAACCTCAACCACAACCCTAAACCCGAACCCCTAAAGCCCAAATGTGTCTTAGATAGGTGGGAGGCAACAGAAGCCCCAAATACTAAACCTCAAGCGAAGAGGTTTGTCAACGAGAGCATGCCTTACCAGCAGCGCCTCGGGGAGCTCGAAGCACAGCTCGCACATCAAGAGCATCCCGGATCAGAGTGGTGTGGCGTTGGTAGGGTCAGAGTTCATGCTTTTGTTGTTGCGGCTTCGGGGGTCTTAGCTTTTTGTGTTCGGTGCGATGTCATGTTTGGGTGCTGTTTAACGTTTGTCTCGGGATGATCGGTGTTGGGTGGTACGGTTGCAGGTCTCACGGGTGTAGAGTTGTTCGCCACTGCGGTGTGCATTTGCAAGGGTTACGTGGAGTGTGGATCTCTCTCTGGATGCCAGTCTATGGGCTGGTGGGTTTTGGGTTATGGTGATTATGGGCTTTATTCAGGTTTTCGGGGCCTTGGGCGTCGGGACGATGCTTCGTTCACGACGTGGGATTTTGTTGGATGGCACTTCCGAATTCACAGGGCAAGCTTGCGGTAGCACAAAAACAGCCAGCCGACGATACAGGACTGCATCGCCATGGCCACTTCACCCAAATGGGCATGCTGCTCCCACCTGTTTCAACCCCTCAGCGGAGCACGCGAAGCTTACTCTGAGAAGTTGAGGGCGAAGAAGGCTTGATAGACGTGCCCGCTGTTAAGATCTCTACGTCGAAGAATGAAGGACCTACTGCTGAAGCCTAGATGCTAGAAGCAGATAGTGGAGGTGTCATGGTAGCCTACAGGCAGAAGTTCCTCGAGCGTGAAGCTGTTGCTTACCGAGAGCGTGACAAGGCCACACAAGCGCATGGTGCGCTTGGGAGCATACGACCTAACTTAGGGGCTGGGAAGGTAGCCTGCAACCTTTTGAGGTGGATGTGTACATATGGTTCTATTCCTACCAGAAGTAAACGAGCAACCTTTTGTGGGCTTGGATAAACAGCCACGAAGACAACGTTTTTTTATCTGACCCCGGGCTCTACTTTGGCACTAGCAGCCCGACAAACTGGGTTTGCGGCACTACACTGGGGGCAAGCGAGCGGCGTCTCCGACGTTGCTATAATGTTGATGGCCGAAGTTTGCGACTCCACATTAAGGGATTTTTAGTTTGGCAACGAAACATTGTTTGATGTAATTATCTTGCAGTTTTTAGCCCTAAATTCTTGCAATGGAAGTCTGGCTGCATTTTTGGGGCCGCTGGAACAGACAGGCATGGACACCAAGACAAGCCTGTCTATGAATCGTATTCCATCAAGATACGCCGCCAAAGAAGGTCTAGTATGGCCTGTAGTAGTCTAGCGATTCCAAAAATGAAACCGCATTCTAAGTGTGTAGGCCGGTAGCCGAGCAAAATAGCAGTTTGTAACCTTTGAAGCGTGACCTTGACTCATTGACAGGAGCGCGCTGAGTTGGAGGTGGCCAAGGAGGAGCTGCGGCAGCGAGAGCTGCTCCAGGAGCGTCTCGGGTTTAGGGTTCCCAGAGACTCCAATATCCTTTAATTAAGGAATATACCTTTAACATCTTAGGGTGCCTACTATAATTTAAGGTATATTCCTTACTTAAGGGATATTGGAGGCTCTGGGTTTCGGGTCTCATGACTTTCGCTTGTGTTTTCAGATTTGGCCTGGGGATCGGAGGTGACATCGAGCCATTCCAGATTCCAGATTAAGTTGCAGCAAAATCAGACAGGTGTCGCTCCTCCGAAAGCTTTGCCCAGGCCTGTTAGACTCGTTTCCAAACTGCATTGACAAAGAAGCCAGAGACAGTGAGCATCCAAGCTGCCAGGCGCTTCCCAGATTTTTGCCACGGGAGCCTCGATACAGATACCTCACTTGAGTCTGTTGGCAATGAATGTATGGATCCGACGATGTCAGGTTTACATTAAGTATTGTACCGTTCCTGACTTTGTGAAACCAAGCGTGTGGCATGCCAGGAGCGCCGGGCACGCGAAATTCGCGAAGAGTCTGCGCGAGCTCAACAGGCGGGCAGCCTTCCTGGGGTGGGGCTTTCAGGTGTGCTCAGAGAGACCCAAGTCCAAACCAAGACCACCACTTGCACCTTACCACTCTCAAGGTTTTAAAGCATTTAATTTCTTCATGACCGGCATCTCATGCATGCAGAGTGGTTGGAAACTCCAGAGACTTGGGTGCTTGCGTATTCTGGGCACCTCGTGCCTGGAAACACATTGTTTGCACTTGGCGTCGTCTTCGGCCACCAGTGACAATATGGAATATTGCCACGTTTCGGTGCTTTGCGGCATCACTTCTCCCTACGGTATGGGTCATGTGTATGTGGATGTTGATGACTTGATCCCTCTTCTTGCCTTCGGGCCAGCTTCGAGAGTTATGTCTGACAACCGTGCTGCCCGAAATCTTTTTCTGCGCATGGGAGAGCTTATAGTGCCTACAAGTTCACGCCGGGTTGGAACGAGCCGCAATACACAGTAGGGGGAGGAGGTCTGCTGGCAGAAGGGCGGGAGGCAGGGAGCATGTCTGTTGGCTTTCGCTCGATTGTGTGAACATCAGTGATTTTCGGATGGCTCTGATGACAATGATGGTGACGGCGACAAGGGGGAGAATGGTCATTTCGACACATAACGAGGATAACGGTTCTGGTGTTCATCATGGCTAGGGAGGTGGTTTTGATGACCGTCCTGATTATGTCAGTGGCGGTCGTGATGAAGAAGAGGATGATGAGCATTGGCATCGCCAGTGCGAGGATGAATGACGACAGCTATGTTCTGCTTTCTGTACGAATGCCGAACCGTCCGGTGCGAAGCAGAACTGTTGGTGCCATCGGGCAGGGTGTTGCGGTGCCTGCCGGGACTTGGTACTGCTAGGCGGAATGCCTGGCTACTCGGTTGCTGGGCATGCGGTTGAGTTCCTTCAATATGCTGGCGGCAGCATGCCAAAACTGCGCACGCTGGAGCACCCGCCTGCCAGCTTACCGTGGCACATGCCTGTAACACACAGGTCTCAACTTCAATGCACACGGTCGTTAACGAATTTTGCAAAATTCATCGTGCCGATTGCGGAGGCAGCTAGCCACCATATAACCGTGGAAATGATTTTGAATCGGGCAAGTTGAATCGTTCACAAACGAAGTAGGCCTTCCCCCGGCACATTTTTTCTATGCCTGGGTGACGCCTTGAACACCACTTGCTTCAAAGGCCATCGTGGATGCCACGGAGGCACGCCGCACGGCTTGAATCCGAGGTGCGCATCTCGTAGAGCGATTCGCCGAAGTCTCTTCACCGGCGTTAGCCCGTGAGCTATGGATCCGGATCACAGGAATTACTCGGAGAAGGTTTTCGGAATATGGTCGGGCGCAGATCTGCGACTAAACCTCTAGATGGGGGGGTTGAGTGTCTACAAAAACCCATGGATGTGTGTACGCGTATTTGCATGTGCATGTGCATGTGCATGTGCATGTGCATGTGCATGTGCATGTGCATGTGCATGTGCATGTGCATGTGTATGTATGTGTGTGTAAATGCATGTGTATGTATCTATATATACATATCTCTCTCTCTCTCTCTCTCTGTCTCACTCTCTCTCTCTGTCTCTGTCTCTCTCTCTCTCTCTCTCTGTCTCTCTTTTTCTCTCTCTCTCTCTCTCTCTCTCTCTTTCTGCCGAGGAATACTATGACTATTCAGAGACTTACCGAGTATCATCTCAAGCAGTCAGCTCCCGACGCCAGACACACGTCCCGGTCTCCTTTAAGCCCAACAGAAGTCTAATACGGTTATAGGAGCCTTAGAGAAGGTCTATATACCTTATAGAAGCCTTATAGAAGCCCTAAACCCTAAACCCCTAAACCCTAAAGCCCAAAGCCCTATATACCCTAAACTCCCCACCTGTAGCTTCCTTTAAAGAAGTCCCGAGATCCAAGGACGTGAGGTCGCGGAGGCCCGGGGCTCAGTTACAGGGTTTAGGGCTTCGGGGTTTAGGGCTTAGGGTTTAGGGATTAGGGGTTTAGGGTTTAGGGGTTTACGGCTTAGGGGTTTAGGGCAAAAAGGGTTTAGGGTTTAGGGGTTTAGGGTTTAGGGCTTAGGGTTTAGGGTTTAGGGGTTTAGGGTTTAGGAATTCTTGCGTCGGTTCTTCACTGCCTTCGGACTTAGATACGATGAGCTGGGAAAGCATACCTCGGAACGTCCGCAAGAACATCTTCTGCAAAGTGATCTGGGACTTTCCGAACATTAGGGGTACCCTATTTTGGGGTGCTTGTAGTATTTAGGGTACTGTATTAGGGTCCCCTATTTTGGAAACTCCCATATAAGACGTTGTATGGCTCAGTAAAGTTCTTCGTCCGAGCCTTTGTGCAGACTGAACAAGCGATGGGAAACACATTGAACATGATCTCTGGCTTAGGTCTCTGGACTTCCAACTATTCCGCATGAAATACCCGAAGCAGCACTATTTGTAACCCGAAACATCATGTCCGTTTCCGATCTTTTTGAAGCTGAACGGTGCTCTCTCGAGCTTTTGCTTATGTTGCGAAGTCAACTCTCCGATCGACTCTAAAACTGAGGTGCTCACCGCGAAGGAAGCAGCTGACAGAGCAAGAGAAGCTGCGGAAGGTCGGGGAACCCGTGATTCATTCATCCTCCATTCCTTTGCCAATCGTTGTCCTAGACCCCAAAGAGCTGCAGTACTACATCCGGAGACTGCTCCAGCACGGGCCCAGTAGCGTGCCCCCCCATAGACGCCTGAGTTTTGAAAGAAGAACCATCCAACAACTAAAGCCGCTCACGCTGAGGGTTTCGCGAGACGAACTGCAAAGCCCGAGAGTCCCGGCAGGGATGTTTCACAAAATGTCGAACATTTGTGCGACAAAATCGCACCACTCGCCTTCCACGGCGGACGGGGGCCGCGGGGCAGTCTGCAACCTGATCCCTGTTGCTTCTTAAGATTGGAATCTTATATTAACCCCGTATCCCAAAACACCACACGAGTGCGAGTGCCGAAAAACAACACGCGGACGCGGATGGAGGTGAGCTCAAGCTGGAGATGGCTCGGCGCCGATCTGCCGAATTGCAAGCTGGTGACTTGCAGCAGCAGGCCCGGCCGGGGGATGTTGTTGCAAGACCATTTTATAATATCTTGTATATGAACTAAAGCACATATTTTCGGTTATTGTACATTGCGGTATGTTACTGTACATCTGAATATATGATATACTCTACTACAACAGTCCATAGTATATTACCGCATGGTAAGCCGCATGGTATGATATACTATGATGCAACAGATGGATTGCGTATGCTGGAGCTGGACGTATTCGGGGTGTCTGAAGGCGCTCCAAGCTTATTCCTCGTTAGGTTCACGTTTAAGTTGTGATCTCAACTGTATACATTGGGTCGAATACGAATCTCCTGCAAGGACTTACTGTGCTAGAAGGTTTCGTAGCAGGACGTCACCACAGAGTCACAAAAATACGCTGCGATTTTGCTTGCCGAGATGTTGGAGAGCAGGTGCTTCGAGATGCGAGCTGAGCCTCCCGATTCCAAGCCCTACTGAACCATGCCGACCACCGTGTACCAGCCTACCAGCTTTCAGAACATTTTTTCTCGAGAGCATGGACAAGAAACCTGTTTACCTTCCTGCTCCATGTCGGGATGATTTCAATGAGCCTTTGACGCGGGGGTCACTTGTAGGAATGGTTGCTTTGGGGTGGTGCCAGGTCGACAAACTGCAGTCGGCCACGCAGCCAGCTTCTGTTCCTGGAGGAAGCAGATTCGCGTGGTACGCTTTCAAGCTAGGTTCTGTGGCTTTGGATCCCGGTTTCGCACTTGGCCCAAAACTAAAAACCAAACCAGGCTCAAGAACTCAATCAAGTCGGGTGTACGTGAATAGTATTGAATAGTCTGGTGTCGGGGTCGGAATTTTGCACCGGCGTCGCCCGAGTTGTCACAGCAACAAGGCGCCTTCCGGGCTGGCACCTGGGTTTCAATCGTGGGTCAACTTATGTCCGGCTGCAGGGCTCCAAAACTTCAGCTTCCGAGGGTGCATCGAAAGCCGAAGCTAGCAAGAAGCCGTCGAGTTGCAGAAAACTGGCACAGCATACCGAGCATCGCATGATTTTTCGATGGTGCGCTCTCGCAGAGGAAGCTTGAAGCCGCAGCTTTCAAAGTTACGGATGTCAGGATTTTGGACTTCAGCTCCAAACCCTAAACCCTGAACCAAGTGTGAGTGTCAAAAGACCCTGAACCCTGAACCACAGACTTAAAGCCTAAGCTCAGCGTCAGACTCCAAAGTCCAGCAGACGCTGAAACTCCAAACAAGACTCAGAGCCACATAATATTGGGGGGGTCGTAAATAATTACCAATATTGCTTTGGGGGCTCCTTGTTATTATATAGTATAGCATACCGCAAAACAGCATTCGAACTATTCAGGCCCATATGTATATTAATCTGCAAGCGTTGTGCCAACCGGGCGTTTTCAACACGCTGC